CGCTGCTTAATCCTTTTTATTCTCTGCCTCTCCGCCTAATACGCGCGCACGCGTCCGACGGACTGGTCCCGCTATTTTTGCAAGGTAACTCGACTCACGGAGAGAGATTAGCCGCGCCAAGCCGATTTGCGCGGTTTCTACAAATCCCGCGTTTAAATACCGCGAGGACTTGCGGCCGGTACGGTTGGAATATTCGTCAGAAACGTACGCGATGTCCGAAGAAAAATATTTCGCGATAGAGTTTTACGCATGAGAAACTTCAGTATCAATGTTACCGTAATGAAAATTTAACGAGACATTTATATGGCTTAGCTCTTAATCTTTGTCTCTAAATGAATCTTTTATCTAATTTTTGTCAATTTATGGCACGAAATAGATCTGCGTCAAGAAATAAACTAAATTTTCCTAAAGAAATGTCCAGAAAAATTATATGCAAATTAACTCAAGAAATAGACGCTCTTGCGCATATTATTAGACTACCTCATACATTCGCGCGCAGACTTCAATTATTCAGATGAAGCTCTTTTACTCTGCTTAGTCAGGAAAATGATAAGAACCGGGAATATTTAATTACTCTCTAATAGCAACCTATTTTCCGAAATATAGAAGTAATAATTTGCAAAGAAATTTAACGCGAATATTTATGACTCTTTATATTTATATTTATTTAGTCTTCCTATCATATCTTGGAAATAGCTGCTTATTCAGAAAGTGCTGCTTTATTCAAAGCGAGATAACGTAAAATATATTTGACGATTCGCGGGAAAAACTACGAGGATTATCATCCGACGAATACACGATTTTTATGACCGAGGAACAACGCGGTTATCCGTCTCACGAGTATCTCTCGATTATGTATTGCGTTCCATTCGGCGCAGGTCACGAACACGCGAAATTGGTATTCGCCTAATCTACATATCGCCATTCCCGGAGATACCGTGCGCTGGCTGTATCCGACTGAAGTAAGTCCGAGCACGTCGATATACTAAAGTCGGTCTCACTGACCTGCATAAGAACGTCATTAGGACCGCAGGATTCATCGATTTTTTTTCATGGCTGTCCGCTATCAGACGTTCGAATGACCTCATTCGTGAATATTCTCGGAAGAGTTTCGGGGATCACCGAAGCAGCCGGTCGACATCGCACATTTCAATATATTCCTCTCAAGTGCGCATTCGTAAAATAAGTTAATCCACATCGTGGACGAAAGAATAATCGCGCACTATTTTCCAACATTAAAGCGGAGAATAATTAAACAAAAAATAAATACGAAAAAATTAATGAAATAAAAGCCGACGCAATTATTTATGTAACAGTTGTGTCAAAAAATATTATTAATTTCATTATCTTTATTGTTTTATGGAAAACCGTGTTGCACGCGAGTACAGCACGTCGAGATAAGCGTGAACGCGGCGCATTTCCGGTGATGCACTGCCGCCGGTGACGTAAACAACGTTCACGGAGTCGCGCCCGCAATGTGAGTAATGCGCCGCTCGCCACGGTCGGTGCAGTTGGATTGATGCGGGCTGTCGAGGACCGCTGTATGTACGGTGAATACAAAGTATTGAGCAGTGCACAAATGAGGATAGAGAAGGAAGACAGGACGAAACGACCGTTCGGCTCTCTCGGCGGAGAGATCGCGCGTGCGCGCGCGCCTTCGAGAGGACGCCGAATGGAGTTTACTTCGACGAATTCAATCTCCGTGTGAAAAAAGACGAGATCGTCGGCTTGATCGTCTATGCATGCGCCACGCGGGAGTACATCTTGGAAAATGCGGGGCATCGCTCGTTGTCGCGCTTCTCGTTGCTACCGAGGGAAGAATCGAGCTGCACTTAAGAGCGATATCTACGCGATTCGAAGGGACGTGAGATTTCCCGGATACTCGTCCTCTCTCTCTCTCTCTCTCTCTATTTCTCGCTCTTTTTCTCGCGATACTCGACGAGGCCGTCGAGTTGTCCGCGATTCCTCCTCAAAAATATCCCGCATGACACCCCGAGGGGCCCCGGCGACGATGAAATATAAAAATGATCCTGTACGATCGACAATTGGATTTGTGACAAATAGACCGATAGTAAATATTTATTTCAACGTGTTATCGCGCAGTTGTCTAAAAGTCAATTACTGTCGTTTCGGATATTTCGTGAAAACGCATAGTTTGTTTAAAATACATTTACGTTTTTCGTAAATATAATATGGCGGTCCGTTAGTCCGAAAAAAATGTTTTGGCTGCCAAAAAATATATTGCAAAATAAATACCGCGCAGTTACATTTTTTATGTTATTTCAGTGGAAATGTCATATTTTATTTCGTATTCCTTATACCGAATTTTCCTGTTTTACATTGTGTCTCGAGCTTTGTCGATCGCTCTGAAAGTGAGTCTCATAATTTATGCATCCCCCTATCGTTGCATAACGTACGTTGCACAACTCGTACGGTCGGCCGGCACGAAGATGAACCGAATGCGCGCGCGATATGTTATTTATTAATGTATTTATCCGCGCATAATCTGCGCGCTTTTGTGTCCGGTTATGATATACAAGCGAAGCGTATTTTAAGTCGCGAGGGAATAACAAGAGCGTGTTATGCTGCGCATGTTACCGAAACGTCTTGTTTGTTGAAGTTTGAAACACCAAAGCTTCGATCTAGATTTTTTCGTTTGTTTTCACTATTTTGCATACTGGGGCAATTCTTTCTTTGTTTTTTCCTACTATACAAAATGTAATTTTTTTTTATACAAGTTTATAATCTGTTAATCTCGTAGTTTTAATTTTCTCAATTGCAAAATAAACATTTTGTTCAAAATTTTCGCAATGAGCATATATCTTATTTTGTTATTATGATTCTTTGTAAAATAATTAGCATCATTTGAAAAATTAAAGTGATATAATGAAATTTTATATAATTCAGATAAAATTTCAACGCCCGACGTATACGGTAGTTTCAATTAGTTAATTACTAGTTTATCAGAAAATTTAAATCATAATTAATTACGCTTTATACTAATCTTTTATTGAATTTTAAAGCAAGCGTCGAGTAGATGCGATACGGGAATATCATTTATTCTCTAAAAGGAGGGCTAGAAATATGATGGATTTTTCCGTGTATGATCCTTTTTATACACTGAAAAGCTGCGCTATGGTGTTCAACACACAAATCGATAAAATGCAAACGCGGGATGTAGGAAAATAAAGTAACGTCGAGTGCAAAATATACTTCGATGTGCACGTACTGTGTGATCCACGCTGGATACGCCGTGTATTCTTTATTTATGTACCGCGCGTATTATAAGTTTTTTTTGCGCAATATTATTATTTGCATCTAACAGAAAAGTGTGTATCGTTACTTACGTTATATTGCAATTACGACAAAATCGCGTCATTTCGTCGCGCATATTCTCCAAAATTTACAACGTGCGGAGCGCTTTCAGCATTCAAGCTTTCGACCATCACGTATCGATGACTCTTTATATAAAATCATTAACCGTATTTTCATAAATTTTTGCGCAAAATTCATCGTCAACCTCTGACGGCGCGCAGACGCGCGCGAAATGACGCTCGATGCAGATGACGGTGATAACATGCTAATCGCGGTAATGAAATTGCGCAAAACTGCGGACGTAAAGGCGGACGCAATTATATAAAGCGACGAAAACGGGAAGAAGAGAAGCGAGCGGAAGACGAAACGAGCAGGAAGTGCCGAGACGCGCCGAAACCCGTCGAGAGGCGCGCAACGAGGGGAACTTTTATCTCTCTGCGAATGTGCGGCACGTTCTTTTCATAATGCGTCGCGGAATCATTTAAAGTTGCTTGCTCGTGCAAGTAGCGCGAGAGAGGCAGCGCGAGGAGGTAGAGCGAGAACGAGGGGAGGAGCGGAAAAGGGAGACACCTCTCTTGAGAATATCGCCTCGTTGAAGCTTTGTTCGTCGCGAGATACACTCGACATTTACTTACCGTCGTACGTCGGCCATTGTTAATTCGCTGAACAAACTTTTTCAATTGCAGGAACAGCGCCGGCGACGTAGAGGGCCACTTGCAACGGAGAATTGGAGTCTCCGAAGAATTCTCGATCGTACCCAATCGAAAGTGGAAAAGCCGTGGGCGGACTATCGGCGCATTGGGACACGAAGTTTGAGCCATTCCTCTCCTCCCTCCCCCCCCGTGACCTTCTCCCCGCACTCCTCCCCTGGCCCTCTTTTCCGAACAATTGTGCAATTGATATTGATTCCTTTCCGTTCCGCAGGCACGTCTGTCATTTGCAAGAGGTTTCCCACCCTGGAAAATGTTCGCGATACAGCTTTAATCGACCGGAAAGTTCGAGCAACGTTAATCCGAAACAATACCTTTGGAATACTAAAATTGCGCGTAAAATTTGAAGGCTCCGACGTAAAGCACATTTCTCGCGTGCTTTGGTCGAAAAGAATAAAATAAATATTAAAGTGAATAACGTAATTGTCTCAATTTCAATGTTTAACGAAATATGATATTACGCCTTTGAGCCGTAAACTTGAAAGCTTTATTCGAAACAATATTAAGAAACGTCCCGTTTTTATTCAATTTACGTGTAAATTCAGCCCCGCGGAGTCACCCTTTCACAGGGGTGGCGGGAAAGCGATTTTTGAAGCCATCCGGCCGCGAGAGTCCCGATTTGGCGAAGCGGAAAAACGCGTTCTCCGGGCGGCGCCGGGAAAAATGCGAAATGTGTCTGACGGAAACCACCTTTGCGCTCGTCAGATTTTCGTCATAATCCTGGAATTCCGCAAAGGTGGAAGGAGACGACCGCGGCGGAGTGGAGAAGGTGAAAAGGGGGATTGAATGATGAAAGGCAGAGAGGAAAAACTAAGGGTTCGCGAAGGAAAGCCATTGACATTGACTTTGTCCCGTCGGCCGAGTGGAGGGAGGGGAAGGAGAGGAAGACAAAGAATATAACGGAAAAAAAAAGAAAATGAGGGTGTCACCGGGAATGAGGGATGCCAGTCGGACGGGAGAAGGGAAATTCATGAGATGGCCGATTGCGCGACGTCGAATTCATGGTTTATGAGTGAAAAAAGTAACGTATAATCTGACAAGTGAAACGCGTTAGTTGGAGCGACTGAAGGTATCTCATTTAATTAACTAGGAAGTACGTCGAAGGATTTTTTACCGACGAAACCCAACAAGCTCTTCCGTGTAAATTATCGGCTTTGTGAATAATGGAAAGCATTTATTTCAAGCTTTTAGGAGAATGCATCGAGTTGTCGGTGGAACGAATGTATGCCTCTACCTCGCCAATTTCTCTCACGTGACTTATAAACGGCTTTACGAAAAATAACGTTACTGCAAATTGTTTAAACTAGATCTATTCTAATAAAATTCCAATACTAAAAAAAAAACACGATATCTTAAACTAAATACGGAACTGAAGATTGAAAGTTACATTTTTACAAAATACTGTTTAAACTTTTCCATCATTAAAACTTCAACGTTTCAATATCCGATATTGATAATCATGTTAGAGTGAAATATTAATTTTATATCTCGGTTATCCGTCCGCCAACTGAAAAAATATGTCTTTTCACTGCTTATATAGGTCGATTTTGCGACGGTGCATACGATTTGAAGTGTGCACGGGACGTGTGTACGCTTGAAAAGCCAGGCACATGGAAAAGATAGCGAAAGTGCCACTCGCGCTTAGAGTTTTGTCGCGTGAACCAGTTTTGCCGGAAGTTCGTACACGTCCCGATATGAAGTGTAGTCCCCGTGAGAAAATATTTAGATGCCCTGACACGAAAACCGATATATCGATTGAAGTATACATAAGAGAAGTTGTCAATGATATCATATAACACAACGAATTGATAAGGAATATTATTTAAGGAATATTCGATTATAAATATCTCGATATTCGCTCGATACTCCGATAGTCTGTCTCCTCGCATATAAAAATATAACTCGCACAGCTTGCGAGCAATATTTGAGTTAAAAATAAAGACCATGTTAATGCGCTCGATACAGAATGTCCCAGAATCCTCGATGTTTATGTTACATTTAATAAAACGAGATTTTGAAGAAGTTACGCGCGACGTATGCAAAGACTGAAGTAATATCGCATACTCGCGGAAGGACAAACATTGCATATTATCCCAAGTTATCAACGATGCAATCTCGCGGAACATACGGGAGGATATCGATCACACGCGGCCATTGTATCGAGAATGCGCTGCAAAATGCAGCCGAGCGTGTCTCAGAGTGTATCGATAATTCAGCGCCTATCCTGCAATATGCTCGAGATGAATTTGGCGACGTGACCGATGATCCATCATTCGTCGGGAATTCGATAAAGTGTCCCGTCATCCGGTGTGGCGATAACTTTCAGCGCGATTTATCTCGCGCTTAAATAACTGCGTTCTAGTTTCTACGAGTGGCACTTTCGCGGCGTGGACGTTGAAAATACGTTTAATTAATACGAACCGCGAGAGAAGAACAAATATAAACATAATGTGAAAATACATTCCACCTCCTATATTTATTTTGTAACGTCATTTAATTAAAAAATACGCACTTTATCTTTTTGTTTAAAAATTTCAAATAAAAAAAACTTACGGATACGTTAGTTATTATATATTTTATTTTACTTAATTCACATTAATATGCACGTAAATCTAAAATATTTACAAAATAATCACAAATATTAAAAATATTTAAAAAAGTTTTTAAATAAAATATTTTTAAAAAGTCGTGATTTTAGCGCTAACAATATATGCTACGATTATTGCGATTAATAAAAAATGAGACTTTAATAATTCATATCTGTTTAGATAAGTATTAGTTTCTCTCTTTCTATATTTACATATAAAATTCTATTTCTATTTTTTACATTCTCCTATCCTTTCCAGATTGTCTCATGTAATATTAAAAGGACTTGGATAATTTTACTGTTTCAATTATAAAAACCACGTTGCTTATAAATGAGAAATTTTCCATGGAATTTTTTTCATTGACGACGTGTTTCTTTCGATCACATCAATATAATACAAATCGAAATTTCATCTTTTATTTGCTTTAGCCAAGATTTCACGCGAGTTTCGCACCGTAATTACTACGTCACTTTAAGATTTGTAATTTTACTCAACGTAAAGTTGTGCAAGTTTTTCCTTCCGCCGTTTAATGCAAATATATATATATATACATATAGATTAACCGGCGGATAAATGTAAGTTCCGTTCGGCATTCATCTCCAGACCTTAATCGAACGGAAGCTTTATTTTCGCCTCTCCGGCGATGTCCATTTTCTATAAATTACTTTCGGAGTTCGTGACGGAATGGTCCGTCTTGCCCCTCTTTCCCATTTACTTAAAATCTAGTCGCATGGCTTTCTGAACAATTACCCGCGAAGTCAGAGCGAGAGAAACGTCGAAGAGCAAATTGCTCGATGCTCCTTCTTTCGGATGAGAGCGTAAAGGAGTGCTTTTACAGAATGTAACCAGATGAGAGGACAAGGATCGAATGGAAAATTTAATTCGATAGCAAAAGTGCATGTGTACTGTCGAGAACGCTTGCGTGCTGCGTCTCTCAATAAATCGTACAAAAATTTCAATGCATTTAATCACCAATTGAATTTAGAGAGAAAAGAATCGGCCGCCCACGACATACGAGAAATTACGGTTGGCATCATTATCATAACTTCGCGACGAGATCAGGGGAAACTTAGCAGCCTAATTATCCTAATGAGATACGTCCCGACGAAACTCGAGAATCTCTCCACCCGGCTCTCTGCCATCCGTTCCGCGCGAACGTCCCGAATCGTCGCTCGCGGTGCTCCGCGCGCAAGAACCAAGATATACGCCAGATAAGGAAAGAGATGTTCGGTGAAGAGCGACACGGGTTTGAACGTGGATTTGCTCGCATATAAAACGGGGCTGCTCGCGCGCTCGCGTGTTTTCGGGTCTAAGCGCTGTCGGTTATAAATACGGACCTAAGAGCAACGACATGCACTCACGGCGTATGAAATATTCCACTGGCCCGGCTACGTGATATTCGCAAATGCACAGCATATTCCTTTGTATCTTTGTCTACAGGTGACATGGCTAAAGTGCACTTTTCTCCAAGCGGCGACGAATGAAAAATGAGAGGGCAGAAGGGAGGAAAGAACGGACGAG